TACCTACAAATGTTATCACAGCGCATCGTGTCGTAGTAATTTACCATATTATTACCTCGGGCTTACGACTGTAGACGAATGGGAAAACAGCCACACTAAGATAAGAAATGAAATTAAATCGTGATGTTTCGAACTCGACGAGTTCCTCACCAGAGGGTGAAAAACCGATGTGTCATCAATGCGTCATACTCTGTGATTCAAAAGTAGTGTTTTGAGGCGATAACTTCAGATCATTGTGGCAGGGGTCAATGTCTCATTATTGAAGTGCATGATTCTAACAATGCCCAGTTGCAACAGGCGCGCGGTTGAGGCTATTGCGCGAGCGGACAGTTCATTCATATTTGTGAATAAACCTCATCGTTTTGTAGTTACTTAACTGGATGTTGCTAAAGTCTTCGAGGCGAGCCGCTTATGGCCGTGCTGTCTGAGGCGTTTTCTACATCAGCAGATTGTTAGCATGGCAGTGGTGAAGTCAGTCACACATTGGTTAATACAAAATTTATTTGTTGGGAAGAATGATACAGTCCGCAACGCTATTTGAAGTACTACGAATTTCACATCGAAAGCGAGAATACTATTCCTAACAACCCTGATGGTCCAGACGGCTGACCATGCAAATGGATACGCTGTTTGACGGTTTGTAGACTACGAGTCAGCGGCGTAAAACCGGTATTGTTATGAAACGGTTTCTTGACATCACATGAGCATTATGTATCAATTACGTAATCCCAAAGAGGTTGCTAATACATGTGACACGAGCCAGTGTGCGAAACCTCACAGTAACAAGGTCTATCCTTATTTAGACCTTGCACAGTAATACCTTTCCTTACCGACCTTTCAGCGTCAAAGATCTACCCCTTATACCCGATGCGCAGACTGGTACGAGCAGGAGGGGGTCAGAAACTTTGGATCGTGACAGTTATCATATAAGCAGTTTAAAATATATAAATAATCATTTTGGTTAAATGAAGAATATATAGCGAAAATTACCCTATTTATTATTTTCTTTTCTGGTTTTACGTGGCAGATCAATTTGTAAAGACTGCTCTTCATAATTTAAAAACAACGTAATTCAGAACGGAATAAATGTGGTATTTTATAAATTTGCATAATATCAATAAGTTATTCGTTTTTATTTTACATTTACACTCCTTAAGTTTCTTTTGTTGCACTTTCATCGGTTTACTCTTCAGATTTAAAGGTAAGGAGGCAATATCAGACACATGATTGTTTGACCTTTTTATTCTGCATTAAATGTATATACAAGAGATACGTCTATAAACTTTAATTTAAACAAAATACACAGGGATAAATAAAAGAGAGCTAGAGGGTCTTCAGAAATAGGTTGTAATCATGAACAGTACTTTTCGCAATGTCGCTGCAGAACTTGAGATCACTACCTTCCACCAGTGACGCTGGAGACACATAGTTGGGTTTCTGAGGGTCATACTGAGCTCGGCCGAGAGTCTTCAGATATTGATGACGTTGCTTTATCCTAAATTCCCGTGACTGTAAAATCTTTGGGAATTTTACAAGTACGCTGTGTGATAATCCCATTTCGTTGTGTAAATAATCAAACTTTCGGAGTAATGACGGCCCATCTGTAAGGATAGAATAAAAACATGATATATATGTAATGAATGAATGTAATTTTTTTTTAAGCTACTTTGATACTATACTGAAACAAATGTTCACATTTACATAAGAGACTGATGGCGAAGTTTTCCTCTAAAAATGACAGACCGATTTGCAACGAAACAGTGCGAAACCAATAAATACTGGCAGAGCGGCCAAGAGGGAAATGGAAAAACAATTTTTACAGGCTCTGCGGGGGTCCTGGGGCTTCTGTCCCACCTATCCTGCAATCTTAGCAGTCCTAATGGCATGCCCCAATTACTTACGTGCAATCCATAATTTTGGAGTAGATAACATCAGACTTTTCATCTCATTCTTATCGAAGCCCATCTCCTCGGTAACAGCAATGGATGTCCTCTGGAATGGAGAAACATACAAAATTAATGAAAAAGAAAAAAAAGTCACTGTATTCAGCTTATACTCCTATCGTGAATGCTCCTGTCAACTCTAAGAATCACTGACCTATTTGCAGATCAGCAAGCTTTCCAGATCAGCAAGCTTTCCAGAAAAAAGAATAATACCTTGATGTGATGAAGGTTGTGTGTAATCAGTCGTGGCTCCTTTACTGCGACGACACGAACCTCATCTCTGCTGAGGTCACACGAGCGTTGGAAAAAGCCGAGGCGGTTGTCGATTCTGACAGTGCTGTAAAAAAATATGTAAACATTTTTAGTTTTCAATTATGCTTACAACAGGTAAGGCAACACTATGTATGAAAGATTCCTAGTTCACAAATGAGATGTCGACCTTGAACACAAAAATTACTATCGATGGAATGATAATGAAGGCTTTACTAAACGGAAAACAACTATTTAGGGAGCTGAGAATGTAAAAGCTATAATGATATATGGTAAAAGAAAAATGTTCAATATCTTATTTTAATATTATAACTTATTAATCCTAGGAGATATATGATGCTGAGGGTGGGAAGCACTTAAGGATAATCTTTTTTTTTATATGTTAGGCGTTACACTGTTATGTATCACCTGCACTTGCCCGATGTAAAGCGTTAACACTGCAGCATTTTCATGTTTATCCATTAGCTATGATTTGTGTTATAAACATATATTTATTTTAAACTATATTATTGTTCTGCCGTTTCAGCCTCCACGTATTCTTTTAGGTTTTAAGAATTTTGGTTCGCTGTCTAATGCAATTACTACTACATACAAGACTGTGCCTCCCATCACTATAAAAGCCATGAGGAGTAGAATCGGCCGATTTTACATCTCATTCTCAAATTACCTACATGTTTGCGATTATTTCAATATACCCGAAAACAACAGCGATTTCACAATTAGAATTAGAAACCCTTATTACAGATATTAGCTAAATGAAGAACTGCTCATCTATATATTCTCCAGAGTGCGGTACATTTACCCAAGTTTCACTCTTTTTAGCTGAAATTTACCCTCAACACTAGCCTGACTAAAACCACCCTGCTAATCTAACAACATAACAACGGCTTCATACCTGAACAACAACCAATGCGGATTGCGTGATATTAAACGCGCAATTTCATCACTGGTAAATTTCACCGCCTTTAGATAGTTGATACGAGCGTCAAGATCTTCTATTTTCTCCCGAAATATAAGAGGATTTATGGTCAGCCAGCGTCCCAGATCCTCCGGTTTCACACCTTGGTCACGGAGAAACCTGTAAAAAAGTTTTTAAAAATGCATAATCATATACGAGTAAAGTACATCATACTAATTTTTAATAAATGTTCTTGGCATTATGACGATTATGTTATTAACAACACTAATTGCATTACAAAATACAATATAACATTTCCAAAAATCAAGGAATATAGTAATTTGGTGATATGGGTAGGATTAATTTACTAATTGGTGACCAAATACTCCGTGAGCCATATATTTTTATACACAATAAATAAACAAAAATCACAGTGGATACGGCAAATGCGAATATGCCATCCATGTCGGTAGTAGGAGAGAGAGAGAGTGAGAGAGAGAGAGAGAGAGAGAGAGAGAGAGAGAGAGAGAGAGAGAGAGAGAGAGAGAGGAGAGAGAGAGAGAGAGAGAGAGAGAGAGAGAGAGAGAGAGAGAGAGAGAGAGAGAGAGAGAGAGAGAGAGAGAGAGAGAGAGAGAGAGAGAGAGAATTCTCCTTGGGGACAAGTCTCTGCACACCGGGCACACCAGATAAGAGGAATCAAGGCTCCTATACATGGCCTTCCTCCCTACAGTCCAGACTTAAAAACCCTTCATGTTCCATACAACTAAGGAAAAATTTGGAAGATTTCAGAATCCTCTTACACTGTACTTACATCAAGTGCTGCTTCATATCGCACTCCAGGTCCAGTTTCAAGATATATGAGCTGATCCCCTTTCTCTTTTCCCATTTGCTGATGTCGACTCCAAGCCTCACCATCTCTTGAAGTGTAGCAGATCTGAAGTGTGAAGTTCATTATGTTATGGAAATTGGCATATATCCCAAAGCCCCTTAACAATACACCATTTACAAAACCGTTGACTACTCAATAACAGCACTTATTTATGAGAAAACTGTCTTATCGTTTTCTGGATTTAACATATTAAACATTCCACATCTTCCTGGTACTAAATGTAAGTTCCCTAGCCCTCAATATAAAACTTTTTTTTAGTTTTCTTTCACATATGTCCCATGTATACTTCTTGTCCCACAACTCTGCGTATTTCACCATAAAAAAGAAAAATTGAACAAAGTTCTCCTAAGAAAATGCTTTATGTATACATATGTGTACATGTGTATGTAAACATGCATGTGCACATGTGTATTTGTGTGAACACGAGTACATGTGTGTACAGTCACAAACAATATCTTTACCTAGGAGTAGAAACGATCGCTAGGAGTTGATTCGGAAAGGTTGGTCCTTGTTGCTTTCGAAGCTCGGAACAGACGAATGGTTAATGGTTAAAAGCGAAATAAATGTGCTAGACACCTGAGGTCATATATCACTATAGGAAGGTATAGTAAATGGTGATGTCAGGTGATAGTTGCTATGCGTCAACTATCTAGAGTAATATAGAAAGGTTGAAGATGGGTAAGGGGGTTGATGAGGGAAAGGGTTATGGTGGTTAGGCAAGGGAATTAGATCAAGTGAAGGATATTTATGCGTCTGAGGAAGGAGATCAGGTTGTCAGGGCAGAAGCTGTGGGATTCTGTAAGGATGTCTGATATGTTGGGAGGTCGGTGAAGGGAGGATAGATGGGGGAAAGCAGAGGTGCGGGCTGTATTAAAGCGTGGACAGGACAACAGAATGTGAGGAACTGAAAGAGGGACATTACATAGAGGACATAGGGGCGGGTCAGAGCGTGACATTAGATAGGCGTGTGTTAGGCGGGTGTGGCCAATACGTAAGCGTG